CACCACTAAGAAGGCTCTCTCTACTGGCCTTACCTCAGAAGGTCTGGATACCTGAGGCATATTTCAGATGATACGCTCAGGGATTGGTCAGACTACTCTAGGCAAAGATGATGCAATGTGTAAGCAAGCACAGCATCAATGAACAGACAGTGGACCTATGATGAAGCACACAGTCCGATCCTCCTTTCTCTGCACACCCCTGCAAAAGGACAGTAAAAAACCAGGGCCTTGTCTTGCCTCCCCGTCCTGCTCTGTAAGATGCTTCCAGGCAGAGGGCTCCTACTGGTAGCAGTCAAGAGCACCGTGCACCTGTTTTTTTCCCCCCTGGCAAGAAAAAGGATGAAAGAAGTGGGAAGAAAACATGAGAAGGGGACCAGTGAGAGATAATGTCCTCTGGAATCCTCTAAAAGCCCATGTTTGATTACATGATTAAAGCAGCCAAGTCACTGGATATTTCTCAGCTCTCACCCGCTCTTAACACCCCCCTCTTGAGAAAACGCAGTGTCTTGTTTTGAGCCTGGACTTCCCTTTTCTGCAGCAGCAGCTGCTGCCTACTGGCAAAGGCCACCACTTCAGCTTATCAGTTGTCGAATGAGTGCTGCTGCAGCAGCAATTTCCACCTGGGAATAACAGTGGAGATCCCTGAACTGACTGTCCATCTTTTTAGAAGCTTCTTCGCCCCCCCCCCCCCGGCAAAAAAGGAATCTGTTTTTCTTTCCCCTCCCCAAATTGGATCAGAACCACAGCAATGGAGGTGGAAGATCCTAACCTTCCCTCCTCACCACTTACCTAGTAATAGTGCTGCTATTTGGCCCATTAGGGAAAACTAACTCGTCACTTCCCATCAGGGTCATTGACAGCATCATCCTATACTTGTCTGCTCAAGGCCAAAACAGACATTGTGTTGAATCCATACCTAGCAGTCTTCCCTCCCTTCCCCTCTCCCTTCCCATTTTTATTCTTTGGGCCCATAGTAAGGTAGAGTAAGGTTAACCCCCCTACACACACACATGCACTTGTTTAGGTCCTATTCTGGATCAAGCATCCTGCACTGACGCTAGAATAAAACTGTAAAAGTTGCCAGAAAAAGTAACGAATGTTTTGGTCTTGAAAACCAAGTCCTGTTGATTTCAGTGGGGCTTCAGTGGGCATCTTTGCGAGGGTGAGTTATTGTGTGCTTGTGATTCCTCACTCATGGTAGGAATGAGAGGTTTCGCAGAGGTTCTCTCATGCTTTCCAAGCATTTCAGTGGCTTTAAAAAAATTAGATTAAGGCTAATGAGCTAATTGGGAAATAGTAGAATGAGCTGGAATGAGATGGGTGTGATTTTTTTCAATTCTGTTATACCACAGTGCCACCTTCTGGCTATACAATGAAAGAGAAAAAAAGCCTAGGTTCTGTGTGTGTGTGTGTGGGGGGGGGGGGTAGGCAGGGCATGGAGACACAATTAAAGGCGTTGAACTTAATCCTGCAAAAAGATCTAGAATCAGAAGCCTCAGAAAAGTGCTGGGTTAAAAATGTCAAGTGGGATTGTGGTCTAAGGCTGCTTGCAGACCAGACTTTGAATGAAAAGCCCCACTTTTGTCCTGTGCTCACCACGTGCAGAAGGGCATTCTGGATGCATCACACACAGGCATTTGATGCTGTGATATGTATTTTCCTTGGGGATTTAGGCAAAGGCTCTTTAAGCATCTGCCCCTCGGCTGGCACTGGCTTCCCAGCTGGCCCTCCTGCAGCATTCTTGACCACACGGTGCCAGTCTCCCCATCGGCCTCTTGTGCAGCACAATCCAGTGAGGAAAACATTGAAGGGAGTCTTGTCCCCCAGAAGGAATCCCTGGCAGCCACTGCATTCCCTTTGCTCTGCTTCTCCCAACAGTGCTACTCCTCCCACCATCCAACCCGGAACAAATTACCTGCACTGGTACCGGCGTGACATAAGCCTGAAATCCTTTTTGCACAGAGCACACACCCCGGGGTTCTGAGGGGCTGAGCACACTGCTGGGGAGGCAATGCCTTCTGTCTTCTGCCACAGGGCATCCTTCTCCCTGAAGAAGAGGAGGAGGAAGAAAGAGGAGGAGGACAGAGAGCAAAGGATAATCATACCTTTCCCATTAGCCCTATAAGCTGCTAATGAGCACTAGCCTGAGACAAAGCTGGTGGTGGCTCTTTAGAATCATAGAAGCAGAAGGTTCCCTGGAAGGTCATCTAGTCAAACCCACTGCCAATTCTGGAAATCCACTTCTACAGCATCCTAAACAGATGGCCATCCAGCCACTGCGCCAAAGCCTCTAAGGAGGGAGACACCACCACTTTCTGAAGCAGTCTGGTCTACAGTTGAGCAGCTCATGCTGCCAGAAAACGCTTCCTAATGTTTCATAAAAACCCCCTTTCTTGTAATCCAAGCCCACGGGTGTGGCTCTGGTCCTCCAAAGCAGCAGAGGACAAATCTGTTCCAGCACTGATGCAAGAGTCCCTCAAACATTTGAAGGTGGATATTGCGTTTCCTCTGAATCATCTCTTCACCAGACCAAGTGTATCCATGCCAGCAAGTTTTACTCATAAGGCTGGGGCACTCACTGAGAATCTAGCCAAATCCTTCTCTTTGAGACAGGATCTGCAAGGTTTTTAACCCATTCCAAAGGGTAGCAAATCCAAGCTTCTTTAAAATCTTCAAGGAAGGTGACTACACTTTCTGTAAGTAACATTCAGTTCCTTACAGTGACTAATTAGAAAGGTTTTATTGTGATTAAACTGAAGGCATCTCCTTCCCTGCAGCTTGCTTTCATCCGTTGCATCTTGATACCTGGATCAAGTCATATTAGGGGATGAACAATTGCTCTTTATCTTCCTTGTGACCAATTCTTAGAGATATAAAACATCAGGGGTTGCAAACCTCTATTGTCTGGTAACTGCGAAAAGGTTGTGTGCAAAACACATTTGACACACTTGTGATGAGTGTGCACAAGCAGCTTGCTCCAGGGCAAGCCGTCATAATTCCTATTTGCTTGATGGTCTTTTTCACACCACCAAGAACAATGCCCTGTTGCATTTCCCTTTGCAGTGGGAAAATGTACCTTGCCCTGAAGAATGGAAGGTGGGGATGGTAGTGTGTTCCACTGCATGTGCTCAAGGATATATACAGTGGCACCTTGGCTCAGGAACTTAATCCGTTCCAGGACTCTGCTTGTGACCCAAATTGGTCGTGAGCCAAGTTAAATTTCCCCATAAGGTTCAATATAAATAAGGTTAATCTGTTCTGTAACCATTTTTTAAATCAGAAAAATGTGAAGCAAAGTGACAAAGAACAACAAAGATCGCGGCCATCTCCCCCGCAGCCCCGCCACCCCGAGCAGGAGTGCGGCCATCTCCCCGCCCGCCCCCCACAGCATGACAGAGATCGCACCTGTCATCCCTGCACACGCCCATCATCCTGGCGCACTGGTGGGGGAGAGATGGGCCTGATTGCGGGCGCACTGGGGGAGGGAGAGACGGGCGTGAATGGGGCACTGGGGGACAGAGAGATGGGCTGAACGGCACGCTGGGAGACGGAGAGACGGGCGTGAACAGGGCACGCTCGGGGAGGAAGAGATGGGTGCGATCTCGGCCATCTCCCCCCCCCCGCCCGCAGCATGATCGCGGCCATCTCCCCACTTGGGGGTGGGGAGTGGGGAGATGGCTGTGATCTTGGTCACCATCCAATGCAGAGTTCATGACCCACGTCAAAATGTTCATGAAATTTTTGTTCACAACCCAATTTGGTCGTGAACCAAGGCGTTCGTGAGCCGGGGTACCACTGTACATGATCATTGTACTAATTATTTTTTTATTATCACATGTATATCCTGCCTGTTTCTTCTTGCAATGAATCTAAGGCAGCTTAGATTGCCTTTCCTTCCTCACAACAACTCTATGAGGTGGGTTAGGCTGAAATTCAGTGACTAGCCCAAAGTCACCAAGTTGTCTTTGTGGCTGAATGGAAAACTAAAACCCAGGTCTCTTGAGCCCCCTGTGATAACTGCACCACCCCGGCTCTCAGAATGGCTCTAAAGGTTCTGCTTCCAAGACACGGGGAAACCAAAATAAACTGGATGGGAGTTTGCTTTGCATAGTTGATTTTTAAGAAGGAGCTAGGGTGTGAGCCCCTAGGCTGGATCAGAGCTGTGGTGCTGCAGGAGGGGCTTTCTCTTGATTCCATCAAGCCTGCCATCCTGAGTAGACTCAGCCCTGCCCTGCACTGGCTGTTTGTTAAAGAAGAAACAGTGACACAAGGGCAGATTATGTGACTGACATAATGTCATATGTTTATTGATTTCCTCATGCCCAATTCAAGTATCTTGCAACTGAGTATCTTTGCAGATTTCTGGAGCTGCTACTTTACTTTGTTCATCATATTTATAGCCCTTTTCTGGCAAAGAGTCCAAGGCAGTTAAAGTGATCCCTTCCCCTTTCTCTTCATCTCCATTTTATGCCCGGAACAACCATGTGAGCTAGGTTAGACTGCGAGTCCATGACTGGCCCAGGCTCACCCCGTGAGCTTCATGGCTGAACAGGGACCAGAAGGCAGATTTCCTGAGTCCCAGACCAGGGCTCACAGGGTCAAAGCACCAGAAGCAGGGCCAAGGGCCTGACCGGCTGCCCTCCTCAGGCTTCCCTGTTCCTTCTGAGCTTAGCTCACAAGAACCCTCACAGCAGTTGCCAGCAGGGTGGGGTGGATTGTCTAGCAACACTGCATTGGGTGTGCTATGGGAATCGCTGTGATGAGTGCCTGCACTTCAACGTTTACCACTATGCCACTGGCCATGCCTCAAATACACCTGAAGATCCTACAGGAAGAATGAAGCAGATGGGTTAGCAACGCTATGAAGTGTCCCACTGGCCTCTGTCTAGTGTGCTTTGATCTGTGGGTAGTGGCAGCTCATCTCTGCGTAGGACCTTATAAAGCCAGCATTGTGGGAGGTCAGTGCTCCTTTTCTTCCCTGTTCCTCTTGGGCTCTTTGGACTCACCGTAGTAGTTCCAGCAGCTTCTCTTTCATGCTGCAGATGAGTTCCCTCTGTTCCAAGAGCTCCTTTTTGTATTTCTTCTCTTTTTCTTCTGATTCTTGGTGGCTTTTCTCAAGCGAACGCTGCAATTGCTCTTTCTCCTGCTGAGACCTAAAGCAGGAGCGAGAGGCACTCTTGAAACCCTACTAGATACATTGCTCACACAACTCTATTGCCATTATTACTACTAGTACTGCTACTACATTTATATCCCACTTTTCTTCCTCTGCAAGGACCCCAAGGTAGCTTAGGTTTCCCAGTTCCTGGACCTGTTAATGCCTATACATGCCTCTATATATTTACCCATCACTAACTTCTTCCAAAGTACCAGGGTGTTGGAAATACCTTTTCCCACGCTACCAAACAGCAATCTCCAAGGTTTGCATGGAAAAGATAATGCTTGTTAAATCAGTTTAAACCTGCAACATGATATACCTCTGACCTGAAAAGCTTCTCCAAGGACTCTAAGCTACCTGGGGTCATTGTTTTGGGCACAGTCCATTTGTCAGGTGCGCTCATGATAACTGGTTGGACAATGACTAGATAGAAAGAAGGGGTTGAGACAACATGGTAGCCCACATTCAAAGGTTGAGTGTAGGTTGTTGCTGAAATATGGGTTATCATTTTGTCTGAACCCAGCTGTGATAGCAAGTCATAGTTTGCTATCATAAACTCATGAAGAGCACCCATGATTTTTTGTTGGGTTGCGGGTTGTTTATCATGGTTTGTTAAATCAGCTAGTTTCAGATCACACCGCCCATGGTTCAGCCACAACCCATGGTTCAACAACAACCCACACTCAACCCATTCTCAGCCCTTGAGGATGGGTTATCTTGCTGTTTGAACACAATAACTGGGGCATACTTCTGAGTAGACACATCAGGATTACCATGAAGCAGAAGGGATATCACAGACAGTTGTGCATGAAATGGTCTATGACCACCTGAGGGGGCAAGGCAATCAGGCTGGTCTTATGGATGGGCCAAGTGGGCATCTCTCCTGGACACCGGGATGAAGCTACATTCAGCGGCTTTGGGAAGAATTGCAAAAGCTAGTGAAGTGAAGCCTACATGTCACTGGTTTCGTTGCGTGTAATATCTGCGATGAGCCAAGGCGGGGTGGGGGGGTGGGGGAAGCAGTAAGTGCCTTTAACCTTTTTTCAAAGTCCTATAAGTTGTTTGGGTACTAAGAAATAAATTTCTGTCAATTAGCTTGCATGCGTATTTCCTTTTCAATTTCCAGTTTGCTGCCATTTGTTCTAGATTGGGATGGACAAAGCGCAGCCCGTGAGCTGCCTGTGCCTCTTCCCAGCCCTGGAAGTTGACCAACCCCATTCTAGATAAAACCAGAGAAATGTGTTAGCTTTCGTAATCCTATACAAGTCATACAACTTGGCAACACTACGGAATTGTCCGGAGAGGACACCAATGGTGTTCCTTCCCCAGGGCACTATGTGTCGGGAAGCCCAGGATTCAACTAGTTTAAGGGCCATGGAGAATGTAGGAAGCCACTTTATAGCAGGATATTCCATTGGCTCATCTAGGTCAGGATTGTCTGATCGGACAGGCAGAAGCGCTGCAGCAGAAGCCTTTGCTGTCACTTGCGACTGATGTTTTGACCTGGGCATGGAACCCAGGAGCTTCTCCCTGGCACTCATCTAAGGGTGCACAGTGCTGTAAAGTCTGCCAAGGGTGTCCAACTGCAAATCAAGGCCCAATGGCTGTGTGTGCTCTGCTTGAAGGCTTCCTCAGAAATGCTTGTGCGCATGATCTCTTGCACATTAGAGCAAAGGCAACTAGGAAGAAAATTGCACACATCAGCTGGGTGACAGGAGGGGATGGGAAGATTAGATTGGACACCTAAGTTCCATTAGAGAAGTAGGAACATGGGAAGCTGCCCTATACCAAATCGGACCATTGGTCAGCCTCATGCTGTCTTGTCTACATCAGAAGGGTTGAACCTCAAACCCATAAGTCTATCCATCCCACTTGGGGCCTCTGTGCCCTGACCCCACATCCTTGTCCCCCAGCCACTGATCATTTGGTGGTTTCCTATCTAGCCTATTCTTGGAATGTCTTTCCTAAAGCTTCGTTGCTGTGTGTAAAAGCTTTAAGCTAAAATATGCTGTGGTTCTTTTGGGAGGGTGGATATTTATTTATTATATACATAGCCTACCTTTTTGCTGCAAAGAACCTAAGTCAGTTTACATAATCCCCCTCCTCTTCATCTTATCTGCAGAAGAACAACCCTCTGAGGTAGGTTGGGCTGAGAGTCTGTGACTGGCCCAAAGTCACCCAGGGAGCTTCATGGCCAAGGGGGAGCTAGAACCCAGGTCTCCCACATCCCAGTCCACACTGCCTCCCTTTTCAGCCCCACCCTTCCGACTCTGCCCCTGCCCCTTTTCCTCTGGACCAGTGCTTCACTGGCACGAAACCCTTGAGAGCTTCTCCAAAACAGAACTGGCTGCGTATCTTCAGGATTGCAGGCAGACGCTCTACCTGGAGTTGTCAGAGATCGAAACTGAGGCCTTCTGCATGCCAAGCACGCGTTCTGCTGCTGAGCTGCTGCCCCCCCCCCCCCCGCCGGCCCTCCCAAGATGCCATGCAATCTAACAGGCTTTTGCTCTCACCGGCTTAGCTGCTCCATGAGATTCTTCGTTCTCGTCTCCTTGGCCAGAAGCATTTGCTTCGCCTGCTGCACGTCCCCAGTCATTTTATCCAGGTGGCTAGTCAGACACTGCGAGAAGTCAAAGGAAGGTGGGGAAACACAGCTGAAAATCAGTGTCTGGCAGCTAAAGAGCCTCCCCCGGCAACCCCCAGGAGCAAGTGTTGGGGGTATGGGTGTTGTAATAGGAAGGTCTGAGTTACTCAGTCCTTTGAAATTCTGAAGTGTTGCAGCAAAAGACGTGGTGTGAGAGAATCCTTCCACAAAAAGCCTTAGATTATGGATTTTCAGGCTCCGGGACCACTTAGTTGCCTTTTCTCTGCACACATCCCTCACCCCTGCTTTAAGCTTGGTACATAAACCCTTCTAGAATGTAAGAATTGCCTTGCTGAATCAAACAAAGCATCCTGTTTCTGAGAAGCCAATGAACAACGACCCTCTGCTTTTAAGCAGTACTGCTGCCTCTGCAGCTGGAGGTCTCACTGATCTATCTAGGTACTGGGGCACCAATCCTCCATGTCCTCTCCTGCCTCTTTTCCAACTCTGGCATATCTTTCTTGAGATGGGGAACCACAGCTATCCATGGTTGCACAAATGGAACCATCCGCACCAGCGCTTTATAGAAAGCAGCCTCCCACAACATGAGTTCCTCTGGAAGTTTTGGACAACAATGTGCATCATCCCTGACATTTGGCCACACAAGGTGCCGGTGATGGTTGCTGTAGTCCAAAGCATCTAGGGGGACCAAGGTTGTGGGAGGGTGATGCAAAGGGATTAGAGTACTGGAGATTTTCATTCCGTTCTCTCCTTAATGAGCCCTACTAGATATTAAGCCCCTGAGCAGACCTTGGTTCTTTGCTGTCTGTAGTACACTGTTTGTATTATTGTTTGCATTTTGTGATGTTAATTCATTGTACACTGAGAGCTTGGGTGGATATTGGGTGCTTTAAAACTGCAGTCTGACACCAATGAACACTGTTGGTGCTGTATCAATTGCAACCTGAACAGATGGGGTTGGGATCATGCTTGCACCAAACCACATTTGTCATTTTGTTGTCCATTCACTGAATTTGGGGAAATACCTGAAAAGCCTGTTGCTGTCGGTCTAGGTTTTCACAATTTACAGGAAATCGGTGGCATTTGCAAACTTGGCTTGCTCCCTGTTTGCCCCTGAAGGCCCAGCAGTCATGATTAAGCAAAATTGCACCAGTTCCGATGCAAAGGGAACCTTTGGCTTATTTCCAGAGAGCATGGGATTGCAGTCTAATGTAAAGAGACTCATGCACATGACTCCTGATCTGTGCAAGCCTGGAAGAACAAGCCAATGAGAGAAGAGGGAGGACCAGTGCAAAAGCCATTCCTTCAGACCTGCACTGGCAGGGCAAAAGGAAGTGATGGGCAGCTTTCTGCCTTCTAGTTTTGGCCTAAATTGTTCAAACTTCCCCTTTTCTACTATTCTAAATAGGCTGGAAGCAACTCCAGGCCTTGCATAATTCCCCTGCTCCATTCCAGAGACATATTAGAGGAATGGAAGTGGATGAATTCAGGAGTTCCAAAAATGCTCCCCAATCTGCCTCTGGAACACCTTATTTCAGGAACATTAGAAGCTGCTTGATTCAGAAGCAGATCATGGATCCATTTAGCCCAGCGCTGACTGGCAGTGGCTCTCCAGGATTTCAGGCAGGAATATTTCTAGCTGTACCTGAAACAGCTGAGGATTGAACCTGGGACCTTCTATATACAGAGCAGGTACTCTGCTACTGAGCTATGGCCTCTCCCGCTTGTTGCTTTCCCTGCCATGGCCATTCCAACACCAAAAGACATTCTGAGAGCAGACCTCCTCCTCCTTTCATGTCTCTCTTTCTGCTCATGGAGAGGGGAATCTGCTAAATCCTAAGGCCTTTGAGAAGGCTTTGAGAAGTTCCCAGGAAAGCAGCTTCAGTTCTGTTTTTAAGTGTTTGATTTTGTTTATTATGTGCTAGCAAACCTAATTGTTATTTTAAAATGTATTTTTAATATGCTTCTCTTCCTGATTCCTAAACTGTTTCTTTCTTCTGACTCAGTGGAAAAATAGGAGAACTTATTACTTGTCTTTCTATAAATATAAACCACTTGAATTGACAGAGCTTCTTTCCTCCGATTGATTCATGGATCACCATTTTGTATTGGGTGAGGGGCAATGACCTCGGAAAGGTACAATAGTTCAGCCTCCTTTGGAGGTGACATGATAACTCCTTTCTTTTTGGTTTGTGACAAGACTTGCCATAGGTCTTTTCCCACTAGAAAAGAAAGATGCCAACTTCAGGCGGTGTCTGCATATGGGGCTTGCGATCGGCAGCGCCTTATTTTCCCAGCCTCATAGATTCAGGTATACTGCCCATGAACCAGGGTCCTTACCTTCCCCAGGGCATCAGTTCCGTGTTTGGCATTGGTCCCCTTCTTGGCAGGTCTTCCCAAATCTTGCAACACATCTGCCTGAAAGAGCTCCTTCCCCATCTGCCATGACTTAGCTGCTCCATGGCCGCCTTTCTCAGCAATGTTGCCATTCTCTTTGACTTGAGCCGTGGCTCTCTTGTCTCGGACCTCATATGCCAGAGCTGGCACAGTGAGCAAAGCAGCACCTTCCTCTGTAGGGCATCCCCAGAACTGTTCCAACTCTTCACTCAGCTTCTCTGCTAGGTCAGTGGCTTGTGTTTTCTCCTGTTCCAGCTGCTCCACTTGGTTTCTCAGCTGCAGGCACTCTTCTCTTAAGGCTGAGGCCACCATTTCACTTCTCTCCTCCCGGGCTTTTTGAACTGCTTGGTTGGTAGCCTTCAAATTCTCCAGCTCATCTCTGAGCTTCATGGCCACTTGGGTCTGTCCCTCCAGGGCTACAGTTGTGCTCTCCACTTGCTTGGTTAAGATGTCTCTTTCTTGGAGGGCTTTTTGCAGAGCGGCCTGGAGTTCCTGCCTCTCCTCTTGCAGCATGACCACCTTCTTTTCAAAAGTTCCCAGTTGGTTCCTCAGTTCCTGCAAAGTTCTTTCAAACCTGATCTGCCCTTCAGCAACTTGGGCTTCTAGCTGAGACAGTTCCCTGGCTTTCTGATGCAACTGAGCTTCCAGTGTAGTGTTTTTTTCCATTGCTCCCTGTAGCTGCTCTGATAGCTCTTTTTGGTTTCTTTGCAAGCCCTCAGCGGCTTCTTCCCTGTCCCTCAGGGTCTTCTCCTGTTCCTCTGAAGATATCCGGAGACTAACAATGTTCTCTTGACATAGGGACAATTCCTTCTGAAGGTTCTGTACTTCCAGCTTTGTAAACACCAGACTTTGTTCCTGAGACACTAGAGTTTCCATAAGTGTTTCCTTCTCCTTCTCTAGCACCTTTATCTCAGCAAGACTCCTCTCTAATTTCTCCTTCAGGAGACCTCTCTCCAAAATAATTGGGTATTCCTCCCTTTCTGCTGGCCTGCAACTTGTCCCGTCTGACTGCCCCTCAGCTGTTTCCATCTGGCCCTGTTGGCTGTTCAGGGCGACCACTTGCCTTTCCCATCTCTCCAGACTCTCTTCACAGACCTTCAGTTTCTCCTGCAGTCCTTGACATCGACAGAGCAGCTGCTGATGCCTCCGTTCTTGGGCCTCAATGTCATCCAGATGCTTTCTCCTTTCCACCTCCTGAGAACTCAACCTTTGTTCTGCTTCCTCAAGAGCCTTCTCAGCATCATGTTTCCTGGCCAAGGCCATCTGGCATTCACTGGTTAGACTGTCAACCTTGTGTTCTGCCTCTTTGAGGGCCTTTACTACCCTGGCCAGTTCCTGCTGCTGCTTTTCCTGCTCAGCTGTTTTCTCTTTGCATTGTTCTTCACATTTTACCAGCTCTTCTTTCAGAGCTCTATGCTCCTCTGAAAGGGCATGCCTCAGAGACATGCCCTCCTCTTGCTGCTGGGACAGCTTCAGCTGCAAAGCACCAACTTCCCACATCAAAGTTCTCAAATTCTTCTGCTTCAAGTCATCACCTTTGGCCGCCACCTGATGTGGCCTTTCCAACTGTCCGCTGAGGCAGTGTTCAGGCTGAGGAAGCAGGCAATGGCTGGAGATACTGCCTGGCTGCTCTGTGCTCACCTGTACTTCACCATTTGCACTCTGTACTTCCCTGCCAGAAGCTGGATGCTGGGCACCCTTTTCCATAAAGGGATGCAGCTTTAGGAAGGAACCCATCTGCAGCAGGCTGTTCTTTCTGCTTCTCCAGACCCCGATCCATTTCTCCACTGACTGTTCCAGCCCAGGCCTACTCGGGTCATCAGCAGATGCCTCAATAACGCCTTGGTCCTTAGTTTTTAGTGAGCTGCCATGACCTTGGGTAGCTCCTTGGCAGCTCGTACAACCTGTGTTTGAGTTCCCAACCTATGGTCAGCAAAAATATAAATAGTTTGGTACACAATGATGTTGATCGGTTGGATTGCAGGAAATGAGAAACATGACTCAAAACTTGACATATGCTCAGAAACAAAGACAGGTCCTGGAAAAGTCCATGGGCACTAATCAGGGCCCTTTGGTGGTTGTTAGACTCCCAGCCCCCATGAGCTCCACACAATATGACCAATGCTCAGGGATGATGGGAGCTGTGGTCAAACAACATTTGAAAGGCCACAGTTTTTCCATTAAAAAATAACAGCTGCAGATTGAGTGCCAACATGTTTCAAGAGATTTCTCTTGGTCAGGGGTGATTACATCTCCAGAGCTTTCAAATGACATTCAAAACTCGCTGCTTACAACTCTGTACAGGGGCTAAATGTGGCACAGAGAGAGCAGGGCACCCTCTTGAGGTGCTGCCATCCTCCTGAGACAGCCATCCTCCAGTGAGCCAGCTGTACGTGCACTTTGCCTTTCCTACTGGGAAAGCCTAGGTTACACCAGCAATCTAAAACCTTTGCTGGCGTGGATTTCCTGCTGTATATGGAGACCAGGATGAAGGTAGGGATGATGTACCTCAGAGAATGCTTTCTTCACTTGGGTGTTCGTAAGAGCTGGGATGGAACACCGTGGCAAAGCCCTAGGAGAGACAAAAGTACAAGGAGAGATGACAGAGAGATTATGAATGCTGTGGAGAAGACAGACTCTGGGTTTTAGTCCAGGGCTAGAACCCTGAGTGATAGCCTGAGGCTGAATAATGGGAGATTCAGGGCAGACCTGCACAAAGTCAAGCTATGGAAATCTCTACCACGAAGTGTCATGATGGCTACCAATTTGGCTTTTAAAGAGAAGCAGACAAATTCATGGAAGAGGATTCTTCTAATAACCATCAGTGGCTATTAGTCAAGATGGTGGCATATTGGCTCCAGTATTAGGGTCAGTCTGTCTAGGCACATCTGTTGCTGGGGGACATCTCAGCTAGTGAGGTCAGGTCCATTTCTGGGTTCCCTGCAGGCAGCTGGTTGGCCACTGTGTAAACTGGACATGACGGATCTTTGGTCTGATCCAGTGTGGCTCATTTTAGGTGACTACATTCTCACAGATCTGCAAGGATGCTGCTGACATCTGAATTTCATCTCGTATCTCATGAGTGTTTCATAAACATCCTGAGGGCACGATTGCAGGCTCAACAGTGGATTTAGCCTGCACTGCTAGTGCGAATGGTACTGGGAGGGAGAAGGAACGGTCCCAAGGCAGTAGTGGGCCATCCATGCTGGAGAAAAAGAGGGGATTGGGGGCAGACAAGGGAAAGTTGGTGGACTAGATTAAAGAGGAACCCACATATGGCGCACCAATGCAGAGAGAGCAATGAAAGCGAAATGGGAAGAGTGATGAGCAGTGGTGGGTGTATCTTCTTGTCTTGCCCTAAGGCAGCGAAATGGCTGAAGCAATCTCTCGTACTTTGGCAGGTTTCCAGCACACCTGGTCTGGTCAGAAAGGAAGACCTCAGTGGTGGTAGTCATTGGGGGGCGGGGGAGTAGAGGGGTACTCACTCAGAGACCATAGGCCACGCAGCATCCAGATCTGCTCTGCAGAGGGCCAGATGGAAGGTGATGCCGTCCAGCTCATAGAGGCAGCCCAAGATGTCCTGCCACAGAGTCCAGTCCAGGAAGGGGCTGCGTGCGTAGTACCAGTCACTGCAAGCAACAACCCACAACGCTGGGGTTTGGAACCTCTTTCATGACAAGCTCTACTTTGGAGAAACTCTCAGAGGCTCCATTCTAGTCATGAAGGCAAAATGGAGCACCGCCAAAGGCAGAGGGGCAGGGCCAAATCCCAGAAACTAGTTTCAGCCAAAAGCTCTTACTGCCTGAATGAAGTCTTAGGAGAGGCATTTTAATCTGTTGTGGGGGACAAGGATACACAAAAGCTAGGAAGCCACCCCATGGTCAGCAGTGGGGCAGAAAGCAGCTGGGGCCAGAGGAAGGGGACATGTTCATCTGGGAAACCCAACAGCCCAAGATGCAGCTCCCAGGTGGGTTGTATTTATGCACGAATTAATTTATAGTTATATCCCACCATTTTTTCCTAAAGAACTCAAGGTGGCTTACATAATTCTCCTCCTCCTTTCAATCTTCTCACAACAATTTTGTGAGGTTGGTGGGTCTGAGAACCTGTGACTGGCCCAATGCCACCCACTTAGCCCCTTTCAGGTGCTGGCATTCCTGAAACATCCCAGAGACTGGGAAGACGATAAAAGGAGAGACCCTAGGTGCCGTGCATGAAGCTCCGGCAGAAACAGTGACTCACGAGGAGACCTTACACTTGGCACCCAGTACCCAAGAGTCGACCCCACAACCCAATGCAGGGACGGCTGAGCCAGCTGCTGCGTCCTCCTCTGAGCCCCAGCACGCTGAGCAAACGCCTGGACCTTTATCAGAGACAGAGAGTCATGAGAAAGAGGAAGCCGCACGTTCTACTCAGAAGGAGGCAGAGCAAGCTGCCTCTTCCTCCTGATGCTGATCTCCCTGAGCCAGAAACAGAAGACACAATAGGTGTCGTGGATTTTTCAAGAGCCCAGAACAGTCGTATTTTACGCCGAGTTGAACAGCTACGAAGTAGACTGCGTAAGAGGGAGGAAAGGCGTGACTTGGGAGAATGATCCCACGTGGGCTCAGGAAGAGAAGCCATTATAGGGCTGACTTCTGCTTAGCAAGGACCGCTATTAGGGAACTTATCAATAGAATTGTAAATCTTGTAGACAATTAGCATTAAAGGACTTTAGTTTTATTGCTCTAGAATGTGTGGAATGTTTACATACCAGGCTGCGCCTCATGACACTACGTCCCAGATTGACTCCTCAGAATAGGAAAGGCACGACAGTGCTTTAATATTTGGCTTGGGATAGCAGAATATGGCTTTGCAGCCTTCACCTTCTCTCTGACCCCACGTGGCTCATGACATGGCACTGGGAAATGGGCTGCAATCTCCTTGCTGGACCAGAACAGCCCTTATTTGCCCTTTTGCCATATTTATGCACCAGCTTGTTGCCCTGTCCCATGACTGCAATTTCAGACAAGTGCCAGGGCTCCCTCTTGGGCCAGTCATGGCTCCAGATGACAAATTTCTCCATGCCTCTGATTCATGATACCAATTTCTCCATTGCTCTGCCCTTCCCTTTTGCAACCCTGTTCATCTCAAGTTGCCACCCTCCTCGCTGTCACTTTCTTTCCCAGCTCAGAGCACCCTTACCTGGTGATCTTTGGCTCCATGAAGCAAAGTTGCAAAGTTTCGGCCAGCTGCTGATGAACCAGGCAATAGCGAATGAAAGCACGGCCCTTCCCCACAGCCGTTTTCAGCTGCCAGGACAAACAGATTCTCATTTGGATCCACATTCAGAAGTAGGGAAATTCTTTAAAGTTCGCTGCAGAATTCTGTACTCACTCCATCTCCCTTTCCTGTCTGTGCTGGTCTGGCACACGGTCACTTATAAGCATCCCACACTTGCTGCCAGCGCAAGGGTTCTTTGAAGACACCCTAGTCTGCCTTTCCCCAAACTTGTGCCCCCTACCCCGCAATGCATTTGACTACAACTCCCAGTAGCCTCAGTTAGGAGGACCAATGGTCAGGAATGCTGGTAGTTTGAAACATGTGGAGGGTACCAGGTTGAAGAAGGCTGCCGGAGCCCTGGTGCAAGTCAATCCCTGCCCAGTTAGGCTGGAGCAGTATGAGAACAGGACCTTTTGCCACACGCTCTGCTCAGATCCAGTGCCAACCAATCTTACTTTGTCCAGGGAGGAGATGTGTTGCACCCCTTCATGTGTTCCACTGTGCAGCTTTGTCAGGACTAGGCTCAGAAAATCCCAATAATCCTTTCTCTGCCCAAAGAGGTTCCTCTTCTCTTTCAAATCATACTGAGGGAAAATACAGTGTGGAAAGGAGAAATACAGCACTCATTGTACGTAGTGTCAGCATTCTGTGGGCATATTTACACTGCTGAATTCTTGCAATGCTTGAATTCTCACTAAGAATATTTTTACTACAATGTAAGAGCGGGGTAGATTTCCCCCAAAATAACTAAATATGTCTGTTCCTTTGGGGAGGTCCTATACATGGACCAGGATTACAAGGCAGAAAAGGTTAAACAAACTCCCAGTTCCCTCCTTCAGCACACAGATGCAATCAATGCATGGCCGAGTAGCACCCTCTTTGTTATTGGATGCACATAGGACCTTGCAGGAAATGTGAGGAGTCTCACAGAAGTTGGGGATGTTTCACAGAAAATAACATGAGCAGCTACGTCCGCTGACTGTGCAGTTCCTGTATGTATCCTGTAACCTGGTCTAATGAACCCTTTTCCTTCATGGGCCACATTCCCTTGGCAGTGGTCAGCCTGGGGGATGTATGGTGAAGGTGCACAGGGCCAAAAGCAGTGGTCCAGAACTATAAATTAGTAGGCTCACACATTTTCTCACTCTTTCTAACATCCCCCCTCCTCCTCTCTCTCTCTCTGACACCTTTCTTTGCCTCCCAAGTTCTGTCAGGGGATGGACACATCACTCTTGTCAGAGGCCTGAACTGGCTGCTTGCAGGGAGCTTTTGAAAATAAGGCAGAGGGTGACAGGTTGCCCATCTCTGTTGTGTCTTGCAATGGGCAAATAGTTCCCTTCCCCTTTCCTCAACCAAAGTCTTGGTGCAGTTGATCAGCTCCCATACCTGCAACAGGAACTCCAGCTGGGCACAGAACTGTTGCAATTCCCGACTGCCATCTGTCACTGGTAGTCCCTGTTCTGGGTAGTTTTTGTGCAGCTCAGTTATGGTATCTAGGCAAAGGAAGGGATGTCATTAGTCATGTTCCAGAACATGCAGTGTACCTGTCCTGCCACAGCAGTGCTCCTTTTAATGTGGCACTGGGGTGGTGCATGCCGGCAGCCTGGCGGCCAAAAAAGCCACTTGGAGAAACAAGGGAGAGAGACCTGCATGGTCTGGGCAACCTAGGAGATCTGCAGCAAGAAGAGGGGCAACTCCACACAAAACGTTTTAAACGCTGCTAAGGTGTCTGCTTGGCTGGAGTAAAGGGGAAGGATGATCTAGAGCTCCTCAAGAGCTTAGGCACAGCCCTTCCTTTCCTGGTGGCCTCTCTCCCTCAGAAAGGGACCCCATCCTTGAAAGCCAGGTTAGGGTGGAGGGGGGGGGAGGAAAAGGGGCCATGGACTAAATATGGGGAGGGTCGGGAAGACAAAACTTGCTCCCCTGCTGCAACATTTTGTTGCCATTTATGCTGTGGCCAAGCTACTTTTTGAAGGCGGAAAGCAGAACGTAGGAAGAGCCCTGCTGGATGGAGGCAGAGGTGTATGCGGTCTAGCATCCTAGTCTCATGGTGGGCGACCAAAGGACAGTGGAAAGCACGCAGGAAGCACGGACATGCAATAGCTGGTCAGTGCTGCACGTGGCGGATGTAGTCACTCATCAGCCGTGGAACGACTCCCCACTGAGGCCCACCTGGAGTCAACAGTGTCATCTTTTTGGAGACAGGTTAAGCCTGCCTTCTGCTTCCTGGTATCTTGTGACAAATGATAGGACGTGCCAGCTGATTAAAAAGAGGTCTAGGTTTTTTTGAAATTGTTTTAGTGTTTTAAACTGCTTTTAAACTGTTGTATCAGAGTGTTATGCTATATTTTAGTGTATTTATTTATTTGATTTATAAAAACACATCCAATAGTCTCAATGGGACTCTCTGGGTGGTGTACATCCAGTACAAATATTATCTTATTTGAATTTTATTACATATTCTATTATTCTACCTGTTATGAATTGCTATGGACTACCCAGAGAGCTTCAGCTATAGAAATGAAATAAAGAATGGAGTAAAAACAACTCTGACAGCAGAAAGCAAGCTCAAAATGATACACGAATAGGAAATCTTTCTAGAGCAGGGATGGGACATTCCAACTCCCAGCATCCCTCATTGTTGACTACAGTAGCTCCAGCCAAAGGGAGCTGCAGTCCAGCAATGTCTGGCCACCCCTTCAAGGAGGCATGGCTGAGATGGATGCCTTTAAGTAGAAGGACTGGGGAATGGTCTACTCTGCTATCATGAAAAGTGCTTTGTAAGGTTAGCTGGGAAAGGGGTCACCAACTACCGAAAAGCAATATAAAATAATACACTGTTGATACAGCGGGTACTTGAGAAATTGACCCAGCCGCAGTGCACACCTCCGATAATGCCTTGGCTGTAATGATGCCCACAGGGAAGCGGGAGGCCAGAGGTCCCCCATGCACTTACTCTTTAAGCCCTTGATTACATGAAAGAGCTCTCTGTCACTCGCCATAGCTCTGCCTCAGCTTGCCTGCAAAGCAAATAGGCACGCATTAAGGGAACGGGGTACCATCTGTCCTCATGCTGCTCTTGTTGCTGTCCATCCCGTCCTGGGTATTTCTCCTCCCTCCTTCTGAATCCATTAATAGCAATATAAAGCAGGAGGGGATTTCATCGCACATGCACACCAATCAGCCCCCCCCCGCCTCTCTTTTTATAACTCCCTCCATGGATGACATGGGGGGCGGTGCCTGCTAAGTGGTTGCTCTCCTCCCTCCAATTCCTTCCAGTGGTACTAGTGCTGTCAAGCGATTCCAAGGCTCAGGGAATCAGCAGAGATGGGGATATGAGGAAACACAAGAAAGCACAAGGACAAAAAATTGTACTGTGATATGTTCCCATGTTCAGTGCCAAAGGTGTGGGATGTTACAAGAGGCTTATTTGCCCTTGTCATCCCAATGGAAGTGTCTCTGTGTTATTTTGTACAAGTGGAATGAACGAAAGAAGGCAGGAGTCAAATCACCTGGTGTTGCTGCTGCTGTTGTTGTTGTTGTGAAAATGTGCTCCCTAGAACCAATTAGATGCAATAATCCAGTGTCATGTGAAATTTGGCGGCATAATATCAGAAACTCCATTGGACAGTGCCTGTAACATCACTAATGATGTGATCCAACCCTTTTCCCACTTGCCCACACCATTTTGCTGATGATTGACACATGTGTATTGCTGTACATTAAAGGGAAAACTTGGGCAGGGCTTTTATCCCCCGCCTAGAAAGGACCCAAGACTCTGAGCAATCATTCTTCCCTAAATTCACAAGGAACAAAAGCAATTAGTCACAAATGACAAGTGTTTGATCTTTTCCAGTGGTATCTTCCAGAAGCCACCAGCAACACTACAGTGGGCCCACAATGCCACCATTCATCCAACCATACCCTGAAATACTTTTGCGGCTTCTTCCACATGCTGCTCCTTTCCCCATTCTTCCTCTGCAAGCACATTTCATCCCACAGCACCCTTCTGTGACTCCTTCCACTGAGATGTCTCATCCAGTCCACCCATGAATCCAGTGTCAACTGGACACTTTGGATTGGTGTCATGGACTCAATGCTGTTTGTGCAGAGGCCTCTCATGAAAGGGGAGGGTGAAGAACACCCTTCACCTGCTCTGGTGCTCCTCTCCTTCTTCTCGCAGCAGGAGTACCATAGTCCACTTGAAGCAGGGACAATTCCAGCATTGCAAAGTACCCTCTGGTAGTCTTCGACATCGGCGGACAGCCTCACCCTATGGCTAATGCATCAGAAATGGCCATGGTGGGCAATGAGAAAGCTACCAGTTAAATTTCTCAAAGTGTGAGATGTGAGTGATGCGGAGTGAAGATGCGGTGATGGTTGCCCACTGGAACAGCTTCAAATGCCCAAAGAGATATTCACGGGGGAGGATGCTGGCAGTCACCTTGATGGCTATATGCTGCTTCCATTATCAGAAGCGGGATGCCTATGTACATTCTCCAGGATGCTGCTGGGGAAACAACCAGGAGGATGCTACTGCACTCATGTCCTGCTTGTGCATTGGCCACAGGCAGCTTACTACTACTACTACTACTACTACTACTACTACTACTACTACTACATTGGCTACTGCGTGGACAGAATGCTGGACTAGAGACACCCTTGGTCTGATCGAGCATGGCCCTTCTTACATGGGATTATGAAGAACTGGCACAGGGGCTCCCCAGTCCAGCTTCTTGGACTGCAGTTAGCAGGACTGCTGGAGCTGACTCAACGCTGAGTGCTTCTGGGGCCATGGTAGCTTCCCAAGGGTGCCATGTGCTGATGCTCGAGGAATATCAAGCTGGGTCATTCCTCAGTATCTTCTCACAGTGGGGAGCCATGATCCCAGGCATATCTGCTGTCACTTTGCCTGAAACTAAGTGAAAAGGGTGCACAGTCCTTTCTTCTCTCCCCTTCACAAACATCTCCTGGCCTCTTCTGCCCTGCTTCCCCAGGGCTGCTACAAGAAGGATTCAGCCAACAATTAATCTAATGAAGCCCCTGCAAAGGCAGGCAGGCTTTTCCCTCAGTGGTGGTGAGGCATCCATCTCTGTGGACGGTCATGGAGGCCCAGTCCCAAAAACCTTCTCACTGTGGTAGGAACTGGCCACTATGCTATCAGCTGCCCACTGCTATCAGGGCTTCCACTGTGGTAGGTGGAGAGGGGATGCCAGGAGTGTATGGGTCTGGGGATGGACCAGTAGATTCAAAGCCCTTCCACTTCACCAACATACTCCTAATAAGGAAAGGAAAAGGAACCCGCTGCCCTATTTCTTTTCCCTCCAGTATCCCCTCTCCAAACACACTTTGGCAGCCTGCTCAGTGTGAACCTAGCAATCAGTGGGTTGCTTGTTCATTTGAGTTCATTTCTGTGCTGTCTTTCAGAAACCAGCCAAGGTGGAACCTTGATCTTCCCTCCCTCAGTTTTCACAGGATCGCACTGCCTCAGCTGTGCTACACCAAGCATGCATCAGTTCCTTGGTGGTGAAGCTTGAAGCAGGTTGCCTCTCTCGCTGCACAGCAGGGCCAGCCATGTGTGCCGAATTATGTATTTGTTGGATGGATATCCTGTCTTTCCATCAAGCCACGACACCCTAGAGCCATCCAGCCTCCAGGGGTGGCTGCCCCTCTCCTGCAACTGCCTCCACAAAGGCTTCTGAGGAACGCCTTACCCTGAGCGGCCAAGAGAAGAAACAGATCAGGCTGGAACTCAAAAGAGGCAGCAGAAGAGAAGGAAAAGGAGCATGGTAGCAAAGAAGAGGTCAGTCTGGATGGACAGGAGTGCAGTGCAGGAACTGAATCAAATTCATCCCTCCCTTCCTCCATTGCCTTGCATCAGACTGTGAACTTGAGAGCAGGGACTCTTGATTTTTGTCAAGTCACTCTAGGACTCTTTTGACTGGTGAACAAGACCAAAATGATTTAAATGAACAAACCAACAAATAACTGATAAGACCAAGATTAAAACAATTATGAAAGCAAAATAAAACAATTAAAACACAACAGCAGAAATAAAGAAATAAGTGACACCAACCAATTAAAAAATTCCTTCAGCAGCAAAGCAGCTAATATGCAGAATAAAAACATCTTTGCCTCTTGATGGAAGGACAGCCTAGTGTACCTTAGCAGAGAGTTTCTGAGCCTGGGAGCAAGCCACCAAGAAGGCCTTCTCTTGTGTCACCACTGAACATGCCTCTGAAAGTGACAAGGCCAAGAGAAAGCCCTTAAAACTTGGGTAGACTCATATAAGAGAATATGGTACTTCATGTAGCCATATAGGACTTAATGGTCATGACCAGCACTTGGAATCCTGACCAGAAAGAGCTTGGTAGCCAGTGAAGTTGTTCCAACAAGGGAATCACATGCACTCTGTCACCAGCCAGTTACACAAGAAAGAAGGAAGGAAGGAAGGAAGGAAAGAAAGAAAGAAAGAAAGAACCTTCAACCATCTATCATCACCACCCATTTTGCCTGAGGTTTGCTGGCTGCATGGGAACTGCTACCTCCTACCCTCCAAAAAACTGTGCAGTGCTGAGCAAGTCTGATGTTTCATATATTTGCAAGTGAGTTGAAATAGGCCCCTGATTTGCATGCATGCAGAATAATTTTTGCATACCTCCACACTGCTAGGCTGGAGATCTTCTCCTTCCTCCATGCATGGGTCCCTGTAACATGCTTACTTCAGGGTGGAGAGAGCCTCCAAGAACCCTCCAAGAGCTTTTCTTATATGCAATCTAAAATGTAATGTCCAGGAAACCTGAAGATACAATCACAGTGTAATGCTACAGCTAGAGCTTAAGAGAGAGGCCCTAAAGTGACATCATAACAGGTGATATTGTTTAGTTGCTATGAAGCCTCCCTTCATAAAGCCTGAGTAAAGAAGTAAATGCCTGGGGGAGAGGAATGGAAATATTCAGAAAAATACACCTCATTTCCCCCCAGAAAATACATGAAAAAAATCTGCAAGAAAACCTGTTTTCTTCTTTTTCTTCCTGGTATTTCTGGTTTTTTTCCTCCCCACCCGCACCTGAACCTTCACCGTGGCCACCTCCGAGGCATTTATATGCCTGAGGCTTCCCTTGCAAATTTTCCCAGTGTGTCTGAATTCCATGGACAAGATCCCAGCACTGGGCTCCGCTTCTGTGCCCTTAGCAGGCCTGCGGCACTGCACATACCTGGCCTGACGAGCTGGATCTCAGCTGTGCCTTGCCTTGTGCCTGGCCCCCGGGCGGCTTGTGCCCCTCTGCTCCCATCCGCTCGCACTGAAGCTGGCGAATGTATGAGCAGCCCGACACAGGCAGTTTCCTCTTTCCTTTGGGAGTCACTGCTTCCCAAAGGCGAGGTGGGTGATGGCCCAGCAGAGGAGGAAATCCCCCTGGATTCCAGGAGCGGCAGCAGTGACTGACACAGAAGGAATCCTTCAACGTGTGTCCGACCCACAGGTTCGCACTTGTGGGCTAGCACTGCAAGTCCCGGTTCGAATACAATAGCGTGACACCTGGCCCACAACAGGGAACCCTGCGGTGAGAGGGGAGCGCCGAAAGGCATGCTGCTGATCTGTACACAGGTGCTCACATGCTCATCTGTGCGTCCTGTGGGATTATTTGTGTACGCTCGTGCCTGAAACTGCAGAGCGGCCGGGTCGCGGAAACTGAGCAATCCGGAACCAGTTTCGCTATTTTCGTGCCGGAGCCCCGAAGTCTCTCTGCACGACTGCGGGTTTATGAGCGAGGCGAGTGGCGAAAGCCGCCGGGGAGTTGGGGGGCGCCTGTACATTTGGCCTTCCGCCTCGCAAGTCCTCTCTCCGCAGCTTGAGCGCTGAGGCACGGGCTGGCGCCGAGCACGGGCATTTAAGGGTGCTGTGCGGGAGGGGAACGGGGAGACAGTGGCGCGCCTCCGCCCGTCGGACAGGGGGGAAAGTGTGCCGCCAGCCTTGCTTTGCTATGGGACTCACCCGCATGACTTCTCCCCCCGGGCCTCGACTCGGGCGGCTTGCGGAGGGCGAGCGCCGCCGCCGATCCTGGGCCTGCAAAGCGAAAGGAGGAAGCATCTTGGAGGGAAACCCCGTCGGCTCGGGGCATCCGATGCCCTTTCTTCGTGCGGCGGCTGCAGCTGAACCATCGCTTCCTTCCCCAGGAGGAAAGGCACGCAGACAAAAGTCCGTGCATGTGTGGGCGCGGCGGGTCTGGCAACTGTCTAGTTTAGAGGGTATGTAAGGAGCTGAGGGCAAAGTAGGTGGGTGCGCGGGTCCTTCCTAATCACCGGCTGCAACCAATGGCCCGCAGGCGCTCGCCTTCCCTCACGCTTTGGAGGGTCCCACGAGCATGGAGGGATCATGGGTGGAAAGTGCCTTTTCCGTGATGGCCCCCCAACTGTGGAACATTCTCCCTCGGGAGGCATGCCAGGCACCACTCATCTTTTCAGTGCCAGAGCAAAACTTTTGTCTAATACCAGCCATTGAGAGTATATGGCAGAGCCTGCCTGCCTGCCTTCCTTCCCTCACCATTTGTTTGAGTTATGGTCTGCACTGATGTTTTAGCTATTTTATTTTGGTTTGGTACTTTTTTGAATGGAAGTTGTTGTTGTTATGTGCTGTCAAGTAATCTCCAACTTCTGGTGAATGAATGCCCCTCAAAATGCCCTGTTCTTGACTAATAAGCAAACTCAAGGCCCTGGCTTCTTTTGTGGAATCAATCCATCTCCTGTTTGATCTTCCCTTCCCTTTCTTCTGCCTTCCACTTTCCCTCCAGGATTCTTGGCTTCTCATGATGTGTCTGAAGTACGTAGTAATGATCTTTGTTTTCTTTGTTGTCTTCATATTCAGCTGCAGTCCTTCTTTGGACCTCCTCCTTTCACTTTCATCAGGAGTCATCTCAGTTCATTGCTGCATTCTGTCAGTAATATAATATCATCTGCATATCTTAAATTACTGCTGTGTCTTCTGCCAATTTTCACTATTTCCTCTGATTCTAATCCAGCTTTCTTATGGTATGTTCTGCATACATTTTGAACAGACAGGGTGATAAAATATACCCTTATCCAATGCCTTTAGCTATGGAAAATCATCCTGTTTCTCTATATTCGGTCCTATCAGTAGCTTCTTGTCCATGATACATGTCACATCAGGACAATCAAGTACTGAGGCACATCCATTTCTTTCAGGACCACCCATAGTTTCTTATGGGCCACATAGCTGAAGGCTTTGCTGTAGTCCATGAAGCATAGAGCGATCTTTCAAAAATTCTTTATTGCACAGCAGTAGCCAATATATATTTGTGATATGATCTCTACTGCCTCTTCTTTTCATCATCCAGCTTGGAATATCCTTGTTAGAACTTAGACTGATTAACACTCTAAAGCTTGGAATAGTTCTATTGGTATCCTATCTACTCTGGATGCTTTCTTCTTTGAAGTGCTTCAATAGCAGCGTTCACTTCACTTTCTTATATTGCAGGGCCTTCCTCTTAGGGTTCCTCTTTTTCTCTTTTCTAAAGGAATCTTCTGTATATTTCTTACATGTTCTCTTTATTTTCTCATGGTCAGATGGTATGTTCCCTTGTTTGCCTCTCAGCATTCCTCATCTAGGATTGAATTTCTATTTGATTTCTTGTATCTTCTGGAAGAAGTGCCTTGTTTTTCCTTTTTGTTGTTATCTTCTATTTCTTTGCACTGGCCATTGTAAACATTCTTTTTATTTCTGTGTGATAGACTCTTAAAAGTTACATTCAGGTTTCTGACCATATTTCTGTCACCTTTTGCTTTTCGTCTGTCCTTAGCAATGGTGAGGATTCTGTCATCCATGTTGGCTTTCTCTTTCATTTGCTACAGAAATTGTCCTTTGGCATTCTTCCCTAACAATGTCTCTGGTTTCGGTCCACAGTTCTTCTGGCTCGTGGTCAGCTGAGTTCAGTAACATAAATCTGTTCTTTATGTGCACTTCAAAGTCCTCAGGCTGTTATTTAAGCAGAATTTTGGCACTGTGCTTATGTCTTTTTCAGCTTTACTTTGATTTTTGAAATTAATAGTTCATGATCACTATCAGAATCTGCTCCTGGTCCCATTTTGACAGTGAGAATAAAGCGTTTTCAATCTCTATTTCCAATTACATAGACTCTTTCTTTTTTATATTGAACATCTGGTGATGTCCATGTGTATAGCTGTCTTGTTGGTTGCCTGAAGTATGTATTTGCAATAAACAGATGATTGGCTTCACAAAATACTATGAGCCATTCTCCTGCTTCATTTCTGGCCCCTCTGCCAGGATTCTGCATTGTTTCCTACTTTTGCAAGTTTTCTCATTGAAATGATTTGCTTAGACTTTGCGTTATAGTCCCTTCTCACCTGTGCCACATCTTGCCTCAATATTAGAGCTACTTTGTTTCTTCTGAGTTTGTAATTTTCAGAGTAAAACACTCTGTCTGACTGAAAATATTCTATTCCAGTCCCCTGCAGTTCTTTCACACCACGCACTGTGATGTTCAACCATTCCGTTTCTAGCGTTACAGTTTCGAGCTTGCTTTGATTAATATTTCCCGTCAGCCCCAGTCAGCATGGTCAATTGTTTAAATCCAGAGAGTACTAATAACATTGCCTCAGTTGGTTAAGGAATCCCCTTTAAGGTCATGGCCTGCCTTTCTCTAAGCTTGCAATCCCAGCTGTTGCCCTCATAGGGAAGTTGCTCCAGTCTCTTGATCATATTACCTATCCATTTTTGTTGCATGTTTACAAACTTGCAACATCCGTTTAAAGTGTAATGATCAGAACTATACACAGTATTCTATGTGCAATGACACCAAATTTTTATAAGGGCAATATGATAGTGTTGGTTTTATTTTTAATTTCTTTCCTACCTATGTCTAACATGGAGTTTGCCTTTTCACAGCAGCCACAAAATGGATGGACATTTTTTATCAAGCTGTCTACCACAACCCCAATGTCTCTTTCTTGGTTATTTGCCACTGGCTCAGGTTCCCTCAGCTTATACTTGAAATTGGAATTCTTTGCCCCAATGAGCATTACTTTATGTCTTTGTACATTGAACCATCATTTTGGTGCCCATTCTCCCAGTTTGGAAACTTCCTTTTGGAACGCCTCAAAATTCTTTTGGTTTTAACCATCCTAAATGATGTGATGGCATCAGCAAACTTGAACATTTCACTGCTTTCTCCTAATTCCAGATAATTTGGGAATAAATTGAAAAGCACTGGTCTTGATGCTGAACCCTGTGGGCCACTACTGTTTACATGCCTCTGTTGGGAGAATTTACCATTTATTCCTACTTTCTGTTCTTTAATCAATTCTTTTACTAATTTACTGTTTACTAATTTTACTTTTACTAATTTACTGCTTGGTTTGCTCAGAGGACTTTGGTGAGGAATTTTGACAAAAGCTTTTTAGAAGCCCAGATAAACATCTACTGGATAACCTTAGCCACATGTTTATTGACATTCTCAAAGAACTCTAAAGTGTTAATGAGAGAAGATGTATTTGCAGTAGCCATGTTGATTTTTTTCTCAGCAGGACTTATCCTTCTACGTGCTTACTAAATGTTCACTTTAATAACATTTTTATCGATTTCCCAAAAATGGCATTAAGCTACCTGGTCTTTAATTTCCTAGATCTTCTCTTTCCTTTCTTTTCTTTTTTAAAAAAATGTGTTATATTCTGCATTCTCTAGTCCTCTGGTGCAGAGGCTGATCTTAGGAATATGTCACATATTTTGTAAGAAGGTCAGCAATTTTATATTGTAGTTCTTTAAGAATTCAAGGATGGAGACCATCTAGGCCCAGTAATTTATTTTCAGTTTTGATACCACTTCTTGTATCAGTTCCTCAAACTTTATTCCTTTATTTATTCCTCCTGAATACATGAGTTCAGGCAAAGATTTTTGCGCTGTTTTCTTTGCAGAGAAGATAGATGAAAAGAATCTATAATTTCCTTGCTTCTCTTTTGATACTCCTTTAACTCTATTGTCATCTAGTGGTCCAGCTGTTCCCTTGCAGGTGTCCTGCTTCTGATATATTTAAGGAATTCTTTATTTTGGCTTTGATGTTGTTAACAATACACTCTTCAAAATGGCATTTGTTTGGGTGTTTTTTTAACATAACTTTTTGCCAACTTGCATCCCTCTTGTGCAAGCTTGTGCTCCCTTTTGTTTTCCTCACTTAGGCAAGGCTTCCTTTTATGAGGGAAGGTGTCTCTTTAAAAGCTTCCTTGACATTGTTGGAAGACCTCCAGGACTTCATGCTACTTTTCCTAGCCTGTAGTACATACACTATCTGGGTTTCTATTTTTGTGCTTTTGAATAATCTTCAAGGATTTTGAAGGGATTTAACCCTCTCGACTCTCCTCTTCAACTTATTTTTTTACCAGTTTCCTCATTTTAGAGAAGTTTCCTCTTTTTAACTTAAATGCCACTGTATAGAACCTCTTGAGCAATCTTCTACCTAACTGTATATTAAATCTTATAGCACGGTGATCCTGTTTCAGGTTGGTTCAGTGATGTTTACATCCTGTTTTATGTACTGGGCCACCCCACCTAGGAGTAAATCCAGGATTGCCTCCATTCGGATCAGTTCCATGACCAGCCTGTTCTAGGGCACCGTCATTTGGGACACGGAGACATTTGTCCTGCTCATGAATTCATCCAGTCAATGTCTGGGTAGCCAGTCGCCCTTTATTGCAACCCTGTTTGTTTGCGGTCCCCCTGATTTCATCCTTCATCTCAAGATCAGCCTGAACATTCTGGTCTGGGGGCCCATAGCACATTCCTAGTGCTAAATCAGTTTTGGGGCCAGGTATTGCTAGTTCTATGTATTTGAGTCTGCTGGACTATACCTGCTTTAATGTACAGAGCAATAGCTCCTCCAGGATATCCTTCCTGGTTATTCCTGTAGAGCTGGGATGTAGAGAGGACCATATCCTACTGCTTCTCTTGATTTCACCAGGTTTCCATAGTGCCCACCATATCTGGGTTCGACTTTATAACCAGGTACTCTAACTCTCCCATTTGGCTTGGAGGC